TTAATTTTTGTTCGCTTAACATTTTTTACAGGTTTCTAAATTACTATGATGACATGGCACAGATTATTAGCTTATGTGGGTCTTCTTTTAAGTCAACCCCCAATTTTTAATATAAATAACTAACATACTATGTACACATCACTAATTCACTATATTAGTCCTCGTTCTATGCATTGCCAGCCGCCCATCGCCTCCCGATCACAGCGGATTCCAGCAAAATTATAATCTTAACAATTATAATATGCCAGTCTGCAAAGGCCATCTTCACAGGTGTCCGATCTCATGGAAGGCAACACTTTGTATGTCCATAGCATCTGTTGATGGACCAAATTCTGCCCAGCTCAAAGTGACAAATCCCTTTTGTGGGTGCAAATTCGTGAGCATAGACTCCTCCACGGCCATCAAACAAGGCGCCCATCTCCATGATCGCCGGAAAACAAATGGAACTTCAAATCTGCTTTATTAAATTTAGTTTTTTTCTAAACGAGAAATGGCTCACCATATGCCAGTCTGCAAAGGCCATCTTCACAGTGAGGAAAAACTTGTCGAGAGTACCATCTGCAAATCGATATGCGAGCGCGTGTTTATTATGTGGCCACTTGGGGCTACCGGGAAAGAAAGCATATTGCGGCACCACCTCAAAGGGCCCTACACGTCGCCGTTGCATCCAGTTAGTGCCATTGGTGATATCCGTAAAAGGATGAGGGAGAGTAAGAGGAATGCATAAGAAAGTAGTGGAAAGACTTTAGGTGCCATTATTGCCTAAACAAGTTGCTATGATCCAATGTTTATAGTTATTGTTGTTGATTTATTATAATTGTTAAGCGGTGCCGGAATTCGCTGTGATCGGGAGGTGATGGGCCGCTCGCAATGCAGAGAAACAGGAGTGATATAGTGATTTATTTATATTAAAAATAAAAAATGGGGTTGACTTAACAAAAAGGTCCGCATAAGCTAATAACAATAGTTATGCTGTGCAACCGAATGTACCATGCGCATGGTGCATACGATGCAAAACGACGTCGTTTTGACTAAAAACGCGCGTCTCACTTTAAAAAAAAAAATTCAGGTTCGATTCTCGGCAACAGCATTATTGTGGATATATAATTATGAATTTCTGGATATATAGTTATAAATTTGTGGATATATAGTTATGAATTTATGGATATTTAGTTCATTCATTGTGGATATTTAGTTCATTCATTGTAGATATTTACTTCATTCATTCACTGTGGATATATAGTTATGAATTTATGGATATATTGTTATGAATTTATGGATATTTAGTTCATTCATTGTGGATATTTAGTTCATTCATTGTGAATTTTTACTTCATTCATTCATTCATTGTGAATTTTTACTTCATTCATTCATTCATTGTGGATTTTTACTTCATTCATTCATTGTGGATTTTTACTTCATTCATTCACTGTGGATATATAGTTATGAATTTCTGGATATATAGTTATAAATTTGTGGATATATAGTTATGAATTTATGGATATTTAGTTCATTCATTGTGGATATTTAGTTCATTCATTGTAGATATTTACTTCATTCATTCACTGTGGATATATAGTTATGAATTTATGGATATTTAGTTCATTCATTGTGGATAGTTAGTTCATCCATTGTGAATTTTTACTTCATTCATTCATTCATTGTGAATTTTTACTTCATTCATTCATTCATTGTGAATTTTTACTTCATTCATTCATTCATTGTGGATTTTTACTTCATTCATTCATTGTGGATTTTTACTTCATTCATTCACTGTGGATATATAGTTATGAATTTGTGGATATATAGTTATGAATTTCTGGATATATAAAAATGTTATTGCCAGGAATCGAACCTGATTTCTTCTTTAAGTGGGACGCGCGTTTTTTTAACCAAAACGGCGCCGTTTTACAACCGAATGCACCTTGCAAGGTGCATTCGATTGCACAGCATAATTTGCGAACTAATAACTTGTGCCATGTCATCATAGTAATCTGGAAACCTATAAAAATGCTAGGGAAAAAAAATTAATGGTAGGTGACTAATATACGTTATGAAAGTTCATGGTGCGGCGTGAACAATCCAATATAATTCATGGTGCGGGATGAGACTTCAAAGATAATAATAATCCCAAAAATCATATTTGAAAAACATACATCATAGATACTAATTATACCCCAAACAATTTTTTATTTTATTTTTTTAAATTGTGTACATTTGATTTGTAGGCAATAGCTAGCGGAGCTAAGTTTGGTACCCTCCCTTACATACTTTTTGTCTGAAACTTCTTATCAGTATCATAATATATATGAAAATTTTAGAAATCTATAATTATATTTTCCTCCCTAAATTAATAGTATATATAGTAGGTGAGTTTAGTTTGGAGTTTCTTTCGTTTCTTGAAGACTTCTTATGATTTGGGATTAAATTTGTGTGTTATGTCATTGAGATTGAAGATGGAGACGATAATAATCTTGGTGAGAAAGAATCCTTGCTACTTCTTCTCATCTGTACTCTAGTTATACTTGGCTTATTTCATTTATCAATATATCAGCTTTGTATTATCATAACATGGTATCAGAGCCTATATCTCCAATGAAGTTTGTTTTTTTTTTTTTTTGTTTTTTTTTATTTACTTACGTCTTTAAATATGGAAGTTAGTTTGATAGGGAAGTGAGAAGGGGCATTTAATTGAATTACTCCAGTCATGTTTATACCAGATGTCGAAGCAGTTGGTGTGATTGGAGTGATGGTAGCCATAGAGAGGAGAAAAAAAAAAACTTTGTTGGACATTTAGGCTCTGATATCATGTTTTTTTATGGAGTACTAATGACTCTAGTACAATGTAGTATCTGTTCATCCATATGGGAAAGTCACTACATGTCATTTGAGCACAAGGTGATTGTCTCTGATACCATGTTATAATAATATAAAGATGATATATTGATTAATGAAATAAACCAAGTATAAATAGAATACAGATGAGAAGAAGTAGCAGTGAGTTACAACAATCCTAAACTACAGGAATACAAGTAGGAAATATAGGATAGAATATGTCAACTAGTGCATATATATATATATATATATATATATATATATATATATATATATATATATATATATATATATATATATATATATATATATATATATATAAAAGTAAGAACTATCCATTAGCAGAGAGCTACTAGAGTTGGAAGAGAATGGGCGTTTTGAAAAAATAAAGAAAAATGCTAATTAATAAAGAAAATGAACTCACGCATCACTTTGCAACTCCAACATGAACTGAATATTATCCGCCATCGACATTCCATGCGAAAGAAAATGGGGATGCCTACGACGCTGAATGCCCCTCCGCCACTCCAACGCGAACTGAATATTATCCACAATTAACATTACATGCAAAAGAAAATGGGGATGCCTACAACGCCGAATGCCCCTCCGTCTCTTGCTAACCCTCCGCCTTCGTCTACCCCACCCCCTACTGTTGTGCCATGGTCAACTCTAGAAGCTTTCCAGGAATACAAGAGTAAGATTTTACGTAATTTGCGGAAAGCTGCGGAAGGACAAAGGCAGGAAAAATAGATTAAAAAAAAGAAAGGAAAAGAGAACAGACTGGGCTAGAAGAGGATACTCAATAAGGAAAATAAGTATTAGTAGTTACGTTTATATCTTTAATACAGTATACAATAATGTTAAAAGCTTAATAGTTGATGAGGTAGATAACGATAAGAAAAATATATGATCTTATTGGGTAGATAATAATAAGAAAAATTGATCGAGATTTAAGAAATAAGAAAAATATATGATCTTGTCAGCCTCACAAGTAATTATTCTTGAACCAGTTACATCATGGTGAGCGCATAAATGTCAGCTTCACATTCCAGTGACCCTGTCACAACATGGAGCAAATCAATAGTGAAAATTAGGGTTTGTCACGAATCTTACAACATGTTGGAGATAAATTCTCCATCGGTGAGGTTGAATTTTTTTATGTTGTCAGCAGAGGCAGTTGCAAACGCATCCCTGGAGCAGAGAAATGGATACCAGTCATATATGAGCCTAGAAATGAGGAACTAAAAGAGCAAGTTTGTTGAAGGCTAATAAAAAAAATGCATATATACTCCTTTGGATGCAAAGTCGTCGCCTGAATTAGATTTCTCTTGGTGTGTGAGTGTTGCCATAGTCTTACCTGAATCATCACCAGTAACTATAAAAGTGAGCAACAAAGTTAATTAGAAAGATAAATATATGGTGTCAATATCCATAAAATAATACCATATCTAAGGTCTCAAAATTTTATAGTTGAATCTTGTGAACCAGTGATGACTTGAGGATTCTGAAAAACCATAGTTAAAATGTTAGATTAATTCATTTTAACCCGCAGATAAACTAATTAGAAAGAGTAAAAGTATGGGTTTTCTTCCTCCTGTATTCATTTGCAATGCCTTTCATGCTTGAAATATGATATGGTATCAGAGCCATAACTCTTGATACGAGCTCCAATTAATGGCGTGGCCACCTCCAATTAATGGTATCGAACACTATTTGCATTTGGAGGTGGCCACCACATTAATTGGAGCTCGTATCAAGAGCTATGGCTCTGATACCACATCAAATTCCAAGAATGAAAGGCGTTGCAAATGAACATAGGAGGAAGAAGTGCACTTATGCAAAGAAGAAAGTAGAGAGCTCTTATTCAAAGTAAAAATGAGGATTCTTTTATGTTTTTTATTACCGAGAATATTAGCCATTTTATACAAGTTTTGTAGAGTTTAACTAACGGTGAAAATACAGAAAAGTAAATTACTCTTGTACTGAGATGGTTGCTGAGCTGCGCCTAGATGCTTCTGTTGACAGGTAACTCTAACCCAGGTGAGGTAGAAAGGAGGAAAAAAGAAAACAAAAAAATTGAAGATGGGCAGAAGAGAATGCATGCACTAGACAGTAAAACAAAAAAGGTGTAGTATGGACAATCGCAGTTGTAGAAGGAGGTTGCTATGGCGCTGTTATCAGGTACTGTTATTGTCACTTCTGAAAAAGCTAATGTTTCGTACCTCAACTCAGTTCTATCAGGTACTGTTATCCCCCATTAATGAATGCTAGTTTGTTCTTAGTTAGTAAGGCTATTTTCATTGCCCTAGCCCAAGGATAATATTTCGATTCATCTAAAACAGGTATAACTAACACCACTGCTGGACTCTTATTAGAGTGTATGCAATAAAGTTTACCTGCAGTATTTGGATTGAATTCAATGTCTGGAACTAAATTCGCAGCTGGAGAAGTCTCAATTCTTGCCCCTAATCCAGAGATGGTCGCAACAGTTGGAATCACTGGAGGTGGACCTTACGGTCCAGCACTATTTGCATTTGGAGGTGGCTACGCCATTAATTGGAGCTCGTATCAAGAGCTATGGCTCTGATACCATATTAGATTCCAAGCATGAAAGGCGTTGCAAATGAACACATGAGGAAGAATATCACTAATGCAAAGAAAAAAGCGGAGAGCTCTTATACAAAGTAAAAAATGAGGATTCTGTTGTGTTCTTTATTACAGAGAATATTAGTCATTTTATACAAGTTTTGTAGAGTTTAACTAAAGCTGAAAATATGGCTTAAAATACGAAAAAGTAAACTACTCTTGTGCTGAGCTGAGTTTAGAAACTTCTGTTGACAGGTAACTCCAACCCCATGAGAAGCAGAAAGGAGGAAAAGAAAACGATAAAATTGAAGACGGTGGAAGAGAATGCAGGTACTGGACAGTAAAACAAAAAAACTTTATGGTTTTTGTTAGCATTGAAAATTAAAATGGGCTGATTTGTGTGTTATTGGCCTGCTTTAATTTTGTTATTGGACTGATATTTTATTTATTGGATTAATTAAATGGCCCGATAAATATTCAATTGGTTTAATTACTTAATTAAATGTAGTTTGATGTTGGATTGTTCGGTCCAAAATGGTGGAATATTTAATTTAGTTAGACCAAACCTGTTTGTATTAATTGGGCTGATTAATTGGTGTGTTTGACTTGGTTTTGACCCATCAAAATTATATGTGGATTATATAATTTTGAATGAATTTGGATAAGTGGATATTATTTAAAGTTGGATTGGATGAAATGATGATCCTGGACTTGATGGTTTCCCGATACATTCCCGAATTTAATTCAGCTAATTAAATTAAATATATGAATTATTCAAAGGGATATGGTTTGTTAGATTTTCTCTACACACTCACCACTATATATAGTGGTTTCATTTTAGAAGAAGGAGAGCTCAAGATTTGCATATCGAAACTCTGTCGGAATCTCGTCAGAATATCGTCTATCGTCTGGAACACGGCTCGCAGTAATGGCTACCTACCCCTGAGCGTTTAGTTTTGGCACAAATTGTGGCTTATAATACACCATTTGGCTTTTAAAATATTGGAAAATCCTTCCATCCTTACAATTACCATTTCCATATTAAAAAAAATAATAAGCAAATTATTTATTTTCATGGATTACTAGTGAATTAATTAACCTCCCTTGGTCTCAATGGATGCCTTATTAGTTTTTTGTGTTTCAATAGGTTGAGAAAGTATATGAACAGATACTATATTATAACAGAGCCAGTAACATTCGAAAAAAAATTAACCTCCCTTGAATTAATAAGAAATTTATGTGTCCCATATATTAATAAAAATTTTACGTGTCCCATTCCCATAAAAAGATTATACATTAGGGAGTGCTACGGTAACTATTGCAGCACGTTTGGTTCACGGAATGAATTTTAAGGTAATAGGAATGTTATTCCATAAGGAATGGAATAGGCAAGGAATAGAATAGGAATTGTATTCTATTGTTTGGTTCGCGGAAGGAATAGACTTTAGGAATTATATTACAGTGTTTGGTTGATTTAAGGAATAGAAATGAAATATGTTTTAAAAGACATAAATACCCTTATAAAAATATGTGATGGTGGCGATGGTGACGGTGGTGGTGGCGGTGGTGGTAGTGGTGGTGGTGGCGGTGGCAGTGGTGGGGACGACGGTGACGGTTGTGGCAGTGGTGGTGGGAGCAACGACGGTTGTGGCGGTGGTGGTGGTGGTGGTGCTGCTGCTGCTGGGTGGTGGCGGTGGCGGTGGTGGTGGTGGCGGTGGTGGTGATGGTGGTGGTGGCGGTGGTGGTAGTGGTGGTGGCGGCGGTGGCAGTGGTGGGGGCGGCAGTGGTGGTGGGGGTGGTGACGGTTGTGGCGATAGTGGTGGTGGTGGCGGCAGCTATGGTGGTGGTGGTGGTGGCGGCAGCTATGGTGGTGGTGGTGGTGGTGGTGGCGGCGGCGGCAGCGTCGGTGATGGTGGTGGTGGCGGCGGCGACGATGGTGGTGGTGGTGGTGGTGGCGGCGACGACGGTGGTGAAATAGGATAAATTTATATATATGATTAAAAAAATTAGGTTAAAGAAAGGGGTAAAAAAGGAAAAGATTCTAAAATCTATTCCTGAGCGTTCAGTAATAGGCTAATACTAGGGGGGGGCCCTAGTAATAGCTATTACCTTATTTGAGGTAATAGGCTATTACCAGGAATATTATTCCTGGTAATAGAAATTGTTACCAAACAACGGAATAGGCCTATTACTGGGAATGCTATGCCATTCCTGGCCTATTCCGTGAACCAAACGGGCCATTGGTGTTTCTAACAGTACCATGTCTCTCTTATTTTACTTATCATTTTTACCAATAATTGGTCAAATCAATTATTTTTGGGTTATTTAATTTTTTTTTAAATTTAATTTTTAATCGTATTTTTAATGTATTTTAATTTAATTGAATGAGAGAGAGGAACCAGATCAAATGAGAGTTGATGCGCAGGAGAAAACGTAACTATGAACCCACTCGAGTCGTCCATAAGGAAAAATCTAGCGGATTATAAGCAATTTTTTTTTTGGATAAGGGTCAAATAAACCCTCCAACTATATATCAAAATTTAATTAGACCTTCAAATTAAAAACACATTCAATTAGACCCTTAAACTTGTTAGATTTGTGCAAAAAACTTATTTCACAGGTTACCAAAAGGTAATTTGTCAACTTTTCTTACATAACATGCATCTTTTGTAGAATCTTATTTAAAAATATTTTAAAAAAAATATTTTTAAAACTTTTTGAATGCTACTGGTATTCGGGTTGGACTTCCATTTGGAAGGTTGTGAGTTCGAGCCTACAGATACTACAATGTAATAGAATCAGTAGCATTCAAAAAATATTTTTAAAACTAAACTTTAAAAACTAATTTAAAAAAACTTTCCATCCGAAGAAAAAATCCCAACTACGTCTTCTCATGACAATAAATTTTCCATTTGACGAAGCTTCTGCTTCTTCATCCTCGACCACCTGGCCGATTCCCCGTTCAATATCATGAGCCTGCGATTCCTTTGATCCATCATCATCTGCGAATCTTCTTGCGATTTCACGCTCTCAAGTTTCACTTCGCTTGATCCTGAACAAGTTCATTCCACTAGGACAAGCTATGTTAGTGTTTCTTATACTGCAAATATATATATATATATATATATATATATATATATATATATATATATATATATATATATATATATATATATATGGTAGCTATGATGTAATAATAATTGAATTATGATGGAGAAAATATGAAATAAAAAGGCCTGGGTTTAATTTGGCGATGATTAGAGGAGCTGAGGTGAGAAGACGTAGTTCGGTTTCTTCGTCAGATTTTTTTAAAATTAGTTTTAAAAATATTTTTTAAAACATTTTAAATAAGATTTCACAAAAAATGCATGTCATGTAAGAAAAGTTGCAAGTTACCTTTTGGTAACCTATTAAATAAGCTAATTGCACATATCTAACTAGTTTAAGGGTCTAATTGGATGTTTTTTTAGTTTGAGGGTCTAATTGCACTTTGATATATAGTTAGAGGGTCTATTTGACCCTTATCCATTTTTTTTTTTTAAAAAAAAAACATACTGACATTTTTGTAAATAATCCAAACTTTGATGTGCCAAGTAAAATGTGTTTAGAGTGCGAGTAACAACTTAATAGAGTGCAGCAATAAAGAGTGCACTTTGATGTGCAAGTAATAATACTATGGAGTGCACTTAACAACATTATAGAGTGGAACAATATAATGTACACCTTAGCAACAATATTAAGTGCACCTAACATTATCATTAGTTGCACCAATGTGAAATGTAAATTACTTGTATCGAATATATTATATAGAAAAGATGAGCGCTCATATGCGGTGGGTGCTTACGGTGCGGCGAGGGTTCCAGATATACACCAACAGTGTTAACAACATGCACCAATAGTGTAAGCAAAACACATCACAATGAAATGCAGTAAAAAACACCAAAAAAATACCCAATACACCCAAAAGAATACACCATATAACTTACCACCCCAATGGTGTATTTCCAAACACTGTATGATGCTTTTACTCACACCTAATGGTGTGTTTTTGACGATGCGTACCTAATTTGTGTTTGTTTTTTATTGTGTATTTCCTAACGTTGATGGTGTATAATCGTTCAACTGTTGGTATTGCCGCACCACCGCACGAGAGGACCCCGCCGCACCTTAATCTAACACGTACATATAAAAAATATCGTTTCTCTTTTTTAATTGTATCTAATAATATCTACTTTATGACATGTTAATAAAAACTTTTATACTCCGTACTACTTATAAATTCATCAATCTCACCTTGTCTTAACAAATGAAAATAATAAAAATATTAAAATTTAAACAGTTTAAAAATTGAAGAAAAGCAATCATAATAAAAAAAATAATGCACAATTAAAATTAATAATTCAAGTTGTATTTCAATAATGTACAGTGATTAAAGAGAAATTAAAGTCACCGAGATATTAAATTGCCTAGGTATATTCATCAAGTTGTATTTCAATAATAAAGATAATTGAGCTTATTATTCATAATATAATAAAAGATTGTGCTTGTTATTTATAGGGAAAATGGCACTTTTTCCCCCTATGTTATATGCTTATAGCACTTTTTCCCCCTGAGTTATTCATGCATCCACATTTGCCCCCTCAATTATTATAAAAGTGGCGGTTTTTCCCCCTGATAATATTAAATAGACATTTTTACCCTTAAATACATATTTTATTTATTTCTCTTGTTCAACAAATTATTGTTTATACGTAGGGATGGCCACGGTTCGGTTCGAACTGAACCGAACACTATAGCAATCAAATAAAAAAAAAATTCGGTTATGATTCATAACATAACCCAATATTTGGGTTTCCATTTATTAAAATTGTGAAGTGGAAAAAAATAGATTCTGAACCGTGAACCAGAGGTTCAAATCGGAACAACTACTAGCAATAGCTTAAAATTAGAATTATAATATTTGCAAATAGTGTATGTTTTTTTCGCATTTATATTGACTCTCACATATAAGTATATATAATCGCGATTTGGTTTTTATTTTGAATCGTTGTTTCACAATTTCGGATCCAATTTGAACTGTTGGTTCAAACATTATTTTAAAATTTTATTTTTTTATTTTTAAAGTATTCTAAATTCAACAATTAATGTATTTTATTTTTTCAAATTGTGGTTATAATTTGTTGGAGAAGTAAAATAAAGGAAATATTTATTTTAAGGGTAAATATGTCCATTTAATATATTAGGGGGGAAAATTGCCACTTAAATAATATAAGGGGAAAAAGTGCTATAAGTATATAACACAGGGGGAAAAAATGCCATTTTCCCTTATTTATAATAAGGGCCGGCCTTGATAGCGGGCGTGATGGGCATCCGCACTAGGCCCAAAGTTTGAATGGACGCTACTCTGACCCAAGAGTTTATTCGTCCCGGGCAGTGGAGGCGGAGAGGTTCTTCGTCTCCGGTCATGGAGACGAAGAAGGACGAAGTCCTTTTTTTAAAAAAAAAAAACTTTTAAATTTTAAATAATTATTTTTAAAAAAATATTTTAAATTTGGAGTGACTTGTTGAAAACTTGGAGAGGAATTGCATTAAATTGATTAGTTTAAGAATTCAATTGTTGGTTTTTTTTTTCGTTTTAATGACTTAATTGCATTATCGTGTACAATTCGATGACGTATTTGACTCATACATTCATTGTTTTTATTTTACCCCGAGCATATAAAATGATAGGATCAATTCTGTTCATAATAGAATAGATTTGGCCTCCTTAATCGGTTAATCTCATTGTAACACGGACTTCCTTATATGATGCAGTAGCCATTCCTATTTCTTGTAGGACAAGTAATCCAAAATATGCATATATAAATAAGCCCCATAGGGAGAGGATTATCAATTCACAATAATACAAAATAAAATCTTACTCTTTCTAAATCCTGTCTGTATTCTTTCTATATTTAGTGTTGCCCATAAGTCATAAGCTCGTCCAGTTTATAATGGAGAATGATTTTGATAATGGTGAGTGGATTGGTGGTGAGTTTTATTACAGTAACCGCAAGGAGAAGCGGGTGCGGACCAAAGACGATGTTCTCTATGGCATTTTTGCTTCTGGGAACAGTAGTAGTGACTCCGACTATGAGGGAAGGGGCAAAAAGCGAAAGAAAGACCTTACCAAGCCTGTTAACTTTGTCTCCACTGGGAGTGTATTGCCCAACCAGAAAATTGATAGTGATAAGGAGGATTTGAAAGAGATGGAAGAGGATAGAGGAGCTTCATCTTCTGACAACTTTCTTTGTTCTGCTTTTGGGAAGAAGATCAAGGAAGGTGCAGTGTTGAGACAAAAATCTTCTCAGGCTGGGAAGAGAGAATCAGAAGCGGGAACCTTTGAAAAGCACACTAAGGGGATTGGAATGAAGTTGCTTGAAAAGATGGGTTATAAGGGAGGTGGGCTTGGGAAGAATGAACAAGGTATCACAGCTCCCATTGAAGCAAAGTTGCGGCCCAAGAACATGGGAATGGGTTTCAATGATTACAAGGAGATTAAGGTGCCAGCGCTTCAAGAATCCGAAGCAGCAAAGTCTGCTCCTCTTCCTGCCCACAAAAGAGAGAAGCCCTGGCTGAAGCAAGCTTCAAAAAAGAAAGTTTGCATAACGGTAGAAGAATTGCTGGCCAGGAAGCAAGAGCAGGGGGTTAATGTTGTTCAAAAGGTGTATGATATGAGGGGTCCACAAGTTCGGGTGCTGACAAACTTGGAGAACTTAAATGCCGAAGAAAAAGCCAGGGAAAGTGATATTCCTATGGCTGAACTTCAGCACAATATGGGGTTGATGGTTGATTTAGCAGAGCTTGAGTTTCTAAAAATTGATCGGGATTTGAGAAATGAGAGGGAGAAAGTGGTTGCTTTGCAGAAAGAGAAGGAGAAACTCCAAGCTGTGGCAGTTCACCAGAAAAAGCAAATTGAAAATATGGAGTACATTATGAATGAATTGGACCGGATAGATAAAGCGAGTAAAGAGGGTACATTGACTCTTGACTCACTCGTGAACTCGTTTCTTGACTTGCAACAACGTTACGCTGATGATTATAAACTTTCTAAATTGTCATCCATAGCTTGCTCGTATGCTATCCCGTTATTTATCAGAGTATTTCAGGGATGGGATCTACCTCAAAATCCAACACATGGATTAAAGATTGTTTCGTCATGGAAGAATCTGTTGCAAGACAACTCATCTCTTTATTCTCAGCTGTTTATGGAAGTATTTTTTCCTGCTATAAGAATATCTGTGACTAACACTTGGCAGGCTAGGGATCCAGAACCAATGCTTAGATTTTTGGATTCCTGGGAGAAGTTGTTGCCTCCTATAGTCCTCCACACCATTCTGGACAACATTGTTTTGCCAAAATTAGCAGCTGCTGTGGATTCGTGGGATCCCCGTCGAGAGACAATTCCAATCCATTCTTGGATTCATCCTTGGCTGCCCTTCTTGGGACAGACGAAGCTGGAATCATGCTTTAACACTATACGTTGCAGATTGGAAAGTGTACTTCATGCTTGGCACCCGAGTGATATATCTGCATACTACATATTGTCACCTTGGAAAACCGTGTTCGATCCAAGCAGTTGGGGAAAACTGATGGCAAGATTTATTGTCCCAAAGTTGGTGGCTGTGATGCATGAATTCCAAGTTTACCCAGCCAATCAGAACCTTGATCAGTTTCACTGGGTCCGGACATGGGCTGCTGCTATTCCCATTCATCAAATGCTTCCACTTATGGACATCTTCTTCGACAAGTGGCAACAAGTTTTATACCATTGGTTGTGTTCAAATCCAAACTTTGAACAAGTTACTCAATGGTTTTTAGGTTGGAAGCAACTTTTGCCACCACAACTACTTGCAAATAATCATATCCGGTATAGGCTTATTGTTGGTGACGATATGATGATCCAGGCTGCTAATGGCATGGAGGTAGTCCACCCAAGTTTAAGAGAGAATATAAGTTATCTCAGAGCTCTCGAAAAGAGACAATTCGAGGCATCAGCACAAGCTCAAAAACCGAACTTGAGTGGTGGGCTACAAAGAGATGGAGAAGACAGTGGATCAGATCTCAGCTTCAAAGCAATAATAGAAGCTTATGCGCAGCAGAATGGTTTGCTATTCAAGCCAAAGCCAGGGAGGATACATAATGGTTATCAAATATATGGTTTTGGTAGCTTAAGCATAATAATGGACTCTCTGAATGAGAAGGTATATGCACAAATTGAGGATAAATGGTCTCCCATGTGTCTTGAGCTGCTTTTGGAGTTACAAAATCGGAGGCAATGATAAAGAAAGAATGTTTATAAAAAAAAAAAAAATTATTACATATTTAGATAATAATAAACTTGTTGCATTTTGTGGGTGTTAATTTATTCATGTAATTTCCATTGAAACTTATTTTTGTGGACTGCATTCCAGGCTTGCAGCAGTTTGTGAAATGATTTAAGGTGTATTTTTTTGAGGTAAACTCTTTAGTTTTGTATGTCTTATCTCTAACTTAAATTACTTTTAGCAGGTGAAATTAATGGTTTATATGTAAATCTTAGCAAACTAAGGGTTGTACAGTTGAGATTATGTTTTTCTAGTTTGAAATTTATAGCACTTCGATAGCATTATATTGTTGAAAACAGAACTGATGTGTGAACATAAAACCTTTGTTATGATATAATTGTTGAAAACAGAACTGATGCCAGCCTTCAGCCTTCTATGATGCTAATAGATACAGAATCAGAGAGAAATTAGATACAGAACTAAATACTCTGTATTATATAATCAGAGAGAAACCAGGAAGCATATTGGGGATTCGAACAATAAATTCTTGAACTTGTTGAACTAGTTTGCTCTTCAATTTATTAATTAATGATTGTATTAAATGTCTTCCAATGTATTTGCTACTGTTCTCTTCCTTCCACCTGAGTGTTCATATATCTCTTATCTCCATCTATGTTTACTGTTATAATCCCACATTGAAAATATAAGAGAGAACATATAGTTTATAAGGTCATAGATTAAATTAGCTAATTGATTGAATTCAATCTTAGATTATAACACAACTGTTACAAGGCTTCAAAATGTATAACACAACTGTATCTTAAGCTCCATTCTTTTTTTGTCAAGATGTACCATGTTGAATCCTGGTCTTAAGCTCTACTCTCTTTTGCCAAGATGTACTACTAACCGAGTTGTTACATTAAATTACTGCTCCAAATCGTAGAAGTAATTTTTTTTTTTTTTAAATGAATCAAAAGGTTAGCAATACAAGGGGAGGGATAGTGTTTGAGCACTTGAACTAGACTGAGAGTCAATAGTCTTGGCCAAGGCATGAGCTACGTGGTTAGGGATAACAATGAGTCGGAAGTAGATCGGAAAGAGCTACATCCATCAGTCGATTCACCTTATATTTTATCCATCCATTTTACACTCTTAACCTGTATCTGGTGGACTTTTTCAAAACCAACCACCACCTCCATTGGTGCGTGTGCCCATCATAGATACCCACCACTTATTATTTTATTAAAAAAAATTAAATAATATTTAAATTAGTTACACATAATAAAATAATAAAATATTCAAATATAATAACTAAATTGTTAAATTTTTAAAAATAAACTTATTAGTTTAAAACTAAAATTAGTAAAAAGTTAGTAAAAGTTTTTAAAAATTTTATAATTAATTATACACTAGTACTTATATTCATGGTGAGTCAGGTGAGGTTCTAGACGAATTTTGTACATAAAACTCGAATCTAATCCAATCCACCGATCACCACAGGTTTAATTTTTTAAGACTTACCTCCGACTCATCACTCCCTATCACTCAAAAATTCGATCCATGCAAGTTAGATTCGTGTAGATATCTGCATGATGGATTGATATTAACATTCCTATACATGATTTGTTAATCGATTGACTTGTCTAATCATAATACTACTCAAAGAATAAATAAGGGACTTGTTTGTAGTAGCAACAAAACCATCATCAGATTAATCCTCACAGGGCGTTTGGTTGGAAGGGGGGAATTATGTGGGAAAGGAATTGTAATTCCATAGGAGTTGAATTACTGGAAATAAAGTGGGAATTTAAATTCCAGTGTTTGGTTGACAGGAATAGAATTACTGGGAATTTCAATTCCAATGTTTGGTATACATGGGAATTGAAAGGGAATAAGTAGTATAAAGTCAAAAATGTCCATTATTGTTGTTAGACATTAATTTTAGGTTAAAAAAGGAAGGGGTAATTTGACTCATCACTATCTTTTTTTCCCAGGAATTAAAATACCAGGGGGGGACATGGGATTTTAATTCCATGAAAATGGGGGAATTGCAATTCCATGGAATTGCAATTCCCTCCAACCAAACTACGGAATTTAATGGTCTTTGGAATTAGGTGGGAATTAAGTGGGAAGGGATTTTAAAATCCCTCCAACCAAACACTCTGTCAATGTTACGGATGAGACTATTACAAACATACAAACAATTGGACTATACCATCTCAAAGATTCAAAATAAATAAAAATAATCTTTGTAAATGTCATGATATCATTACCCTTCAATTGTCATACAAATTGACTTCATACATCAATTCTCATACTTAACAATAAAGTCACATTTCACAGACATAACAACAATTGAGTTTCAAGTTCATTGAATGCAATAATTATGATGAATGCCTAAATTTAACTTAAGAAAAATGTTCATTATATATATACACTAATCATAGTCACTCGTTTCAATCCTTATCAGGTCAACCCACCAATTACTTACATTAATACATTCTCATCTCTTAATCTTTATTAATATAGTGAAACTCGATCTAAATCTCCACTCCCATTCTAATTTACACTAGCAATTATAATTGGTTAATTTTTCAATCACGGAATTTCTTAACTTAACATAAACCAACCACAATACATTATATGAAATTAAACTTTAAATGTGGGAGTAATTATATTATATATTTTGGCTTTAGGAAGCAAGTTGGTGTCGGGTAGACATGATTGATTTGTCTACATTCATCCAAAGGTTGTCTGATTGAGAGGAAAGCAATAGGCGGTATCCCATTATTTTATCAACTTGGATTTATGAGCTTTGGAATTTGCCGGTTTTCTTCGAATAGCAACGTTGTTTAACCAACCAATCAACCTCAATTTAAAGTTTCCTTTCAACATTTCTTTTTTTGCTTTATACGGAGTAGCAAATAATAATTCACGCATGTAACGTAGTATCCACTTGCACAAATTATTACTTCCGCCGATTTGACGTCCTAGGTGGCTCCAATGCATCTTCCCTTAAATGAAAATAATAATAACTTTTTTAGAGATTTTTTCTAAATATGGAATATTATATTGTATATTTTAGTAGTTTAATTTTAAATTCGTTCAAATATAATATGATTATTTGGAGACAGAATTGATATGAATAAGTGATTTGATTGCAAATTACAAGAGTATAGAGTATTCTAGAGAAACAATGTATAAAGTTAAGAATGAGTAACTAGAGCAATTGAGTGGTAATTAAGGAAGAAAAGAACAAACTTGAGCCACTACTCGAGTAGGTTGGGAGCCCTATTGTAATTTAAAACTTAATTAGAGAATATCAAAAGAGTTTAAACCTATTAAAACTCTTCATATCCTATCACGGTAAATTAGAGTTCTCATTTGAAAATAAAAAATAAAAAAATCTCATATAATAAGGTAATTGTAATAGAGGCCAAAATGTTATTGACCAAAATGTTAAATAGAGGCAATATAGTAATTCTAATCCACTAAAATGTTGGATAGAGGCAAAATGGTAATTCCAGCGGAAACTCATGATAATTGATAAGATAGAATTAAGAATAAATTGACTATTTTACTATTTTGAAAATGACAATTAAATAATTAAATTAAAAAACTTTTAAATACACGATTTCTAATCATGTTATAACAATGTGTTAGATGAGAATGTGTGACCTTTCGTTGGTCCTTGATTTTGGGTGATCTAAGGGTTGATATTTACTATGCAATATGTGGTTATTTGCACTGTGCAATATGTATAGTTGTTTGCACTATGCAAATAATGAATTGCATGAATCTAATCATGGCCGTACAAAATCAAACATTCAATGGTACGGATTTGATCATACATTCTCACCTAATACTTTGTTCTTACCAGATTGGAAACCTAATTTTATGGAGATAAATCTCATACATCTAGCCTTTATGTGAGAATCAAGCCCATATATATGGTCCTTCGTGAAGACCAAACCCATATATCATGCTCTTTTATGAATACCAAACCCATATATCCCGCCTTCTCTGAAGACCAAACCCAAATATTCGGCTCTTCCATGAAAACCAAGCCCATATATATGGTAATTTTGTGAAGACCAAGCATGTTGATCCAGCCTTCCTTTGAAGGGAAATTATTGTGTGGATCATGCTCTACACAATGTTATGTGCACCATAACAAAAAGTACATTTTTAATATATTAAATGTACATTATTTTTGTACTGAAGGTACATTATACAATATAATGTACACTCAGAACAAAAATAATGTACATCCCCTGAATACAAAGTACATTATTTTTATCCTGAATGTACATTATTTTACAGTAGACAAAATATCGTTCACACAACTTGTGTGGACCATGGTCCACACAATAATGATTGTCCTTTGAAGACAAAGTCGTTTAAGTACATAGGCCATTTATCGAAGAACAAGCTACATATATGCATTTTTTCTAATCTAAAAATTAATAAGTGTGAATGAAAGTTATACCCGTTATATATATATTATGTTATAAGAGTTATACTATACATTATTTTGGACAAATATACCCCTATCGTTATAACTTATGTTATCTTTTCCACTATTATTACCATGGACATTCATCCACCATATACCTTCTAATCTTCTTCAATAATAATAATATATACACATTATATATTAGAATTATATGTTAGTTATTTCCTAAAATATAAATATCAAATTTATAAAAATATTTAACATTATTATTATTATTATTATTATTATTATTATTATTATTATTACTATTATTTACAATTTACAATAATATAAATATTTAAAATATAAATAAATCTAAGATTTTAATATAAAGTACTAATATTAGGCACTTATTTTTGCGCATCGCGCATAGAAAAACTAGTTTTTAAGATAAGTCACTTAGCTTGAGTTCCATGGGAGACTATTAAGAGATTTTGTACCTGAATTAGTACTCATTATAAACCAATTTTGAATTTTAAGATAAATTCAAATTTTCAAGTCCCTCCGTGCATGCCAAAAT